AACCTTTATCAAAGAATTATTGAATTGTTTTTAGTAAATTATTTTGATAATTACTAACATGTTACAAATTACTTACATCTAAATTTTCTTGTAATTCTTTATAAGTAAAGTCATTTGCAATAATTGATAATACATGATGTTTTCTATCTTGATTTTTTTGTTATTCTCTAATGCACGATTAAAGCATTGCCAAAAAGTTAAAGTTGAATTTTTAATAGGTGTTGAAATATCCTTAACAAGAAATTTCATTTGATATAATTGGGTAAGTAATGCATGATCTTGTTCTGGATAGTTAGATTTTGACCAAAATTGATACTAAAAATAAAATTTATTATTACAATAATTAATTTACAATTTTTTTATTAGAAATCTTTCAATAATACCTGTTCTTTACATGGCCAAGGAGTTACATTATTGGCACCAGCAGCATGAAGAAAGGTCTGCCATGCACTTTTTTCACGTATACTAAATTGATGATTTTCAGGATATATATTATGTAATTCATTGTTTAGTTCAATTAGAGGACTTTCTTGTTCATCCCATTTTATAAATAACTAATGCCAATTAATATTCACAATTGTTCTTCGTTTTAGATGAAAATCAAAAAGTGATTTTATAATAGAATCATCTTTCCACTCTTGAGGTGAATATGTTGGTTTTTTTTGTTTTTTATTTAGAGATTTTATTATGTGATTGTCAATACCAAAAAGTTGATTCTCATTGAATTTTTTTATAAATTCTAAATTTTTCCACACGTCAATTAGATTGTTACTCACATATGTAGTTTGAAGTTTTTGATCTTGATAAATTTCAACAGTACATAAAGTTTCTTTGATTTTAGAAATAAACAATGCCTGTTTATCTCTAAATTTATGAAGAAGTGAAGATTTATATCCCAGTCCAGCACAATGCTAATCCATATTCGTTGAATATCCCACTCCATATACAAATACTTTTATTTTTTCAAGTAAAAAGGAATGAGGAGTAAAAGGAACATCTTTATTCAATTCATTTACTATATTTTCGTCATTCCATCCTATTATTAATGAATCAGAATAGCGAGTTTTCGTTGCAAAGATTTTTGAATAAACTTCAGAAATAGCATTAGTCAGATTATTTGCAATTCCTACAATTTCATTACATTGACACATATAACTCAGTAAAAAGATATTATTGTCTTTATTGCCAACAACTACTGTAATAATAAATTCACAATTGTTGAGCATTGCTTTAATTGTTTGCTTCACTTGAATAGGAAAATAAGTTGTAATTTCCTCAGAATTAAGTAAAGATTGCCACCAATAGCGAGAATATGAACCATAATGGTATTTTTCAACAAGCACACCTGGTGATATAAGACTAATATTTATTTTGCGTTGTTTTGTCATTATATTATGGGTGGAAATATAGTATGCACACGAGATGTAAAAAACAGCTTTTTTTATTATTGTTTATTATCCCTGAATTTTATTATAAAATGATCGACATATGGTGCTGATCTTAGACGGATCGGCAATTAATATAATTAAAATTTTATAATGACATGAATAAATATCTGAAAAAATATTTAAGTATTATAACATTTATTATAAATAATTTAATTCTTAGAATAAAATATAAAGTATAAAAATTTATGAGAATAATGAATTATATAATTATTATTTATTATAATTACTAATTTATTATTTATTTATTTAGTTATATTTACTTGTGATTTTTTTAAATGAATTTAAAAAAAAAAATTACATGATAATAAAAATATAAAAGAACTTCAAATTTTTATTAAAGAGTAAACTATAATTATTAAAATAATAAAATATCAATATATTTATAGTATACTTTTAAAAATTTAATAATTTTCATTATAGAACTTACCTCTAAATAATTTAAGCTTAAAGAATCTAATATCTATAATAAGGATAAAGGATTTATTTTAGTTATCTTTTTAAATAATATTCAATATTACTTACCTCTAAATACTCCAATACTAATACTTATTAAAAAAATATTTCATCTTATTTTAATTTTTTATTTATTATCTAAAATTAATACTTTTATTTATAAGTAAATATAATATAAATTTTAATATATTTTAATTAAAAGATTATTTATTTATAATAATATTAAATTTATTTAAAGATATTCAAAAACTCTTTTCGCCGATTACCAAAACCAAAAAAATGACTGGAAAGAAAAACACTCGTAATAACAACTCCAAACCTTACTAAGCCCACTCTTTTCCTATGAAGAATGACCAACAATAACAATGCCTAGCTAAGAAACAACATATTGAACCACTAAAACAAACAGAAATTTCAAACGCTTCTGGAAGTAACTCCAACAGCTTCACAGATATGGAAGTTGAAATCTCGCTTCCTAATACTTTAAACAAAGGAAAAGATCTTGAAATTTCTAACAACAATGCCAATATTCCTCTTGATGAGGACCAAGCCTTTGATGCTTCTGAAAATGGTCTTAATAACAAACAAAATGATAAAAACAAAATCCACTTAGAGCACGAAACTGAAGCCCCAATCTACTCGCTTACTGCGTCGCAGATAAGTTTCACCCTAGAAAATCCAACAGAGACAAACAAAACGAAGCATGTGATTTATTTACACTATACTACTTATCTTTCATTGGTGCCTCAATTCGTATCCACCCTGAGAACTTAACAAAAAAATCATCTGAATTGGTTTTACTTCACATACTGAGGCAAACAATGCAATTACACTCAAATTTCCATGTTTAGAAAATAACACATTTTTACCTCTCACAAACAAACCAATAGCTAAGTACATTCCTGAGTTGTCGATCCGTCTCACTGAGATCCTGATCTCTACTACTGAATCAAATATTAGATTGTCCTTTTTCTTTTTTGAAAAGATCTTCCGTTGCGTTATGTCTACAAAAAACCTTTGGCAGCAAGCTACCCTCATATTTGAACAAGACACAGATATGACTACCCTGAATAAACTTAACAGCTATTTTGTTCTTAAAGA